GTACCAAATTGTGAAGATATTCTAGATCTGGTTTCACTCTCTTAGCACAGACACTCATATACAGGATGTAGAGAAAGCAAGTAAAACCCTAAGACTAAAATATAAATGGAGAGTAATCATTTTTTAACAAAGACCACCCTGAAGTTAGCTGTTTCTTCCATAGGAATACCATTAATTACTACGGGATAGAAGTGTAATTCATATCAACTCATTGGCTCTCCAGTTTATAGTTGTTTCTTCTCAGGTAATGGCCCCTGTAACACAGTGGCCAGATTTCCTCATTATCTCCTTGTGCCCATGGCCACAGTTGATTCTAAGGCAGTTGTTCTCAAACAGGAGTGTGCATCAGAGTCTCCTTGTTAAAACAGAGTTCTAGATCCCATTACCAGTGTGTCTGACCCAGCAGGTCTAGGGTGGAGCTTGAGAAGTTTCATTTCAATAAGTTCCCAGGTAATGCTGATGCTGCTTATCTAGGGAGTGCGAATTGAGAAACACTGACCTAGGAGAAGGTAACTGAGCTCTCTGTATTCTTCCAATGCATCCACCTCCTCCCATCCTCATCCCAACCCCACTTTTCACATGTTTTCCAGGTATACTTTCCACTGGTCACAAATACAATAATTTTAATAAGTACTGGAGGGGAGCTTGTCTACAGCCTGGAGAAGAAAGGAATCAAAGTGTGAGAGGGACAGCAAGGTGTTCTACAATATCAGAAGTCTGTGTGTCAAAACAAGAATAGGAAGTAGATCTTTTCAACCTGCCAATTTTGCCTCCCTCAAAGGAAGACATTTTTAACAATTTTAAAATGTCTGAAAATAGGCAGGTGTTTTTTTTTTTTTTTAAAGATGATATATTGAACAAATTAATTTATCCTTGCTCCCTCTTAAATAACAACACAATGCAAGCAACTAAAGTTTTGGCATAATGTGAAGCATAAACCCTCAAGGACAAAAAGAAGGGTAGAAGGGATGATAAGAATATTGAAAATAAGAAAGCAGATAGGCAACTGTTCCAATTGGCTTCCATAGACCTGAGAATTCTGAGCTATAAGCAGCAGAAGCTGGAGAGCAAGGGGATTTGCACGCCAGAACCCCAGACAGGTTCTGAATTCTGGAACTTCTGAATGAAGTAAAATAGGGCCTAAAAAGAGGAGTGATTGAGAATCTGTATAAAAAGCAAGAGAACTTCTAGGTCCACTCTACCCACTACATCGGGTGATGTCTTCTCCTTTGCCCTGGCATGTAGCTGGAGGTTTACCCTCAGAAGGCAGTGAATCAAAAGAGCTCTGGAATAGTGGACACCAGGCAGAGTTGGAAGAAGGGGTACTTTATAGAAAATGGTTGGGCGATTAAATGAAAGTCAACATATGGAAACTTTACATTTTAGTCTTCTTTCCCTTCTTGAGCTCCCAGAATGTTGACCTCCAAGTGTGTGCCTTCCAGATTAGTAGCATAATGCTGAGATTTTAGAAGGTATAATCTTCTAACAATCTGTAGCTATTTTCACAAAAAGATTGAGGGAGAATGGAAGGGGTTTGTGGTGCAAGAGAGGCCTGCAGTGTATGTCCAAAGCGAGTTTAAAGTCAGCAATATTTACTGAGCAACTACTCTGTTCCAAATAAGCTGTGAGCTCAGATGATTCCCCAGTAAGAAAGATTCAGTGTGCCCATCCCTCATTGAACTAGATGGGAAGGCTGGAGGAAGGTACAGCACATACAGACGCAGATGGTAGAGAAAAAACATGCTGAGTTTGCGGAACCACAAACAGTTCAGTATTGTTGGCGTGGAAAGTATAGATGTGTAGGGAGCATGGGAGGGAGGGAGGGAGGCCTGAACGATGCTGCTTTGCTTATGTCACTCTCTTTCTTTGCATGTGTTATGTCTCATTTTTAATTTTTTTTCATCAACGGCTTTTTTTTTTTTTTTTTTTTGCCCAGGCTGGAGTGCAATGATGCGTTCACTGCAACATCCGCCTCCCGGATTCAAGTGATTCTCCCACCTCGGCCTCCCCAGTAGCTGGGATTACAGGTGCCTGTCACCAGGCCCAGTTAATTTTTCAGCTAATTTTTTTTTGGATTTTTGGTTAAATACAAAGAGATAGGATTTCATCATGTTGGCCAGGCTGGTCACTCCTGACCTCAGGTGATCCGCTTGCCTTGACCTCCCAAAGTGCTGGGTTTACAGGCATGAGCCACCATGCCCGGCCAAGGGAAATTTTTTTTAAAGGTCCATGTATGTTGCTATGAAAGTAATCTAAGCCATTTCTTTGAACTCATGCCTGGTATTTTATGGTATTTTATGATGCAGCTTTACTGATTTTTACCTACTCATTCTTCTAGGCATGGTTATCAAAGTTATTTTCCATCCCTCCCCTGACTCCTCCACCACTCACTCCAAAAAAAGAAATACAGCAATTGACATCCCCAGGAATGTCCTCTGATAAACCTACGTGAGAATTGCTTGTGTTATATACCCTGGAGAAAGATTGCTGCTATGTGCATATGGAATGAGACTAAATATTGACGGTTTGTCCTCTAGGATGGCTGCCTTCCGGGTAGTCCATCATGGAAATGGTGGCCACGATATTCCACATTGCTGCTAATCTAGTTTTTTCACACAGTTTTAGATTTTTGGCTAGTGCAAATGTCATTTTCTCTGGGTCCAAAATATCATTTGCACTTCTCTAATTGCTAATGATTTTGAACACCTCTTCATAAACTTGTTAGCTTTTGAGGCTTTCTCATCTGTAAATTCACTGTTTATATCCTGTTATACCATATTTCTATTAATATTGGGGCAGCTATCTGTTTCTTCCTGATTTGCAAGAGTTTCTCATATATTTTAGATATTAAGCTCTTGTTGACTTTAGACCTTAAAGATGTATTTTTTCAATCACTCATCTATTTGTTAACTTTGTCTTCTTCAACTTTAATTATCTTCTTCATTAAGCAAAAGTCCTTGTTACAATATAATCAAGTTCGTCAATTTTTTTATGGTTTGTGCTTTTGGAATTTTAGCTTTTCCATCCCTAGGTTACAAAGACATTTTTCCATATTTTCTCCTACCAACTATAGTTTTAGCCTTCATATTTAGATTTTGAATTCTTTTAGAGTCCACCTTTTGCATGTGATGTTAGGTGGGGATTCACATGTATTTGTCTCCACATAGTAAGTATATCAGTCAGATCTATCCAGAAAAATGCGTGCCATTTTTAGTGTTTAAAACAAAAGAAATTTAATGTAGGTACTTCATTACATGAATGATGGTAGATCTGGTGAGTTAACCAGGAGATGCTGAGGCAACCCAGACCTTAGCAGCAGCAAGAAGCCGCTATCACTCTTAGGCTTAATAATAAAGAACAGGAGGTGGCAATGTTATTGGAACTCGGGACTACTTGGTGGAATTGGAATCCATGCAGGAGTTTTTGGAGGGAATGGGAATGAAAAAAGAGATGCCGCTGCTGCCGTAAATGTCCTCAAATGCATGAAGAGTAGGAGAGAATAGCCTGGATTATTTCTTCCTCTTTCTTTGCAATCTGTTCCATTGCCTCTCCATTGGCCTCACTGGATGAAGGGCAGGTGACAGGAGAGACTGGGAATGTAGCCCGCAGCCTGTGATATAAAGCAGAGGAGGGCAAGAACCGTATTTGGGGTCAAACAGGCCCAGGGTCAGCACAGTGAGCTATTTCCCAACATCATCTGCTAGAAACTAGTCTTTCCCTTTGATTTATGGTGTCACCTTTGTTATAGATTAAGTCTTCAAATGTACACGAAGTCTATTTAGAGTCTAGTCTGTATTTAGATATAGACTCTAAATAGACTTCGTGTACATTTGAAGACTTAATCTATAGACTCTAAATTGGAGTCTATTTCTAAACTCTATTCTGTTCAATTTGTCTATCTGTTCTGACGCCAATTCTATTTTCTTTTAATTACTATGGCTTGATAGCATGGCATATCTAGTAGGGGAATCCCCTTTCTTTACTCCTCTTTTTTTAAGTTGACTTAAATATTCATGGACCTTTGTTCCTCTATATAAGGCTTTAGAATATTTCCATTTTTCAGTTCTTCTGTATCTATTATTATTTTAAAGTTTTCCTCATGGAAGTCTTATGTATGTAGCAGCAGAAGAAAAAAGAAGTACAAATAGTATACTGTCTCAGAAGTGAAAAGGGTCACTTTCACTCACATTTCTAGTCAAAGTAAGTCACATAGTCACACTCAGTTTCAAGAAGATGAGGAAGTGCAATATTTCTGCTAGGAGAATTGGAAATCGTTAGTGGAAAACATTAATGGTGACCAAAATCTGCTATTCTGGTCAGCAAATATTTAGTTCACTGACCTTCTTACATGCAAAAGACAATCATGCCACCCCAAGACAGAGAGAAAACACAATAGTTCATACAGTCTGTGGAATCAGCTAAAAGTCCAGAGTAAACTAGGGGATGCTAGGTGGCCTCTTTACTAGATCTGGATGTGCCTTCTCTCACTCTGGTAATTTGTAAACTAAAAGGAAGGGTTTTCTGTGCTCCCCTCCTCACACACCTAATATACAGAGACCACAAAACCAAAGTAACTCTTCCCATTGGAAAGGAAAAAGAGGGGAGATACATAACTAGGTGCATTCTTAATGAAATGAAAACATATATCCAACAAAAACAATTGTACATAAATGTCCCTAGCAGCATTTTCTATAATGGCCAAACATTATGTTAATGTTAATGTTTAACAAATGTTAAAAACATTATACTATGCTAAGTGAAAGAAGCCAGTCACAAAGGACCACATATTGTATGAATCCATTTATATGAAATGTAAGAATAAATGGGTGAATTGTATGGTATGTGAGTTATGTTTCCATAAAGCTCTTAAGAAAACAAGTAAACAAACAAAAACAAAACAAAACAAACAATTATTGGTCTACTGCAGTTTAAATGAGACATATTTGGCTGGAGCATGACTGCTTATATCAGAGCTGAAGACTGCCTTTCAATTGCAGGTCCTGCCTCAAGAGGTAGCCACCGAATCTCAGAAAAAGAAAAATGACCTTGAGACTTGAGACGGCATAACCTGGTGGTGAGTCTGTGTGTCATATATGCTCACTTATGGCCCCATGGACAACTGGGGTCATCTTGTCATTAAATCTCCTAGTGTCTGACTTCATTCACAAACCCCACCCTTAATTATTTCTTCTGCTGGGGATAACCTTCAGTTATAAGCACATGTTATTACTATTATTATATTTTATTTTATTAGATGAAAAATAAGTGTTTTACTGTTGAAAAATTGGGGCTAAATATGATGGTTCATGCCTGTAACCGCAGCACTTTGGGAGGCCAAGGTGGGAGGACTGCTTGAGGCCAGGAGTTTGAGACCAGTCTGGGCAACATAGCAAGACCCTGTCTCTAGAAAAATTAAAAAAAAGAAAGAAAGAAAGGAAGAGAAAAATTGGAAAATACTCAAAATGACAACAAAATTATTAAAAATCTCTTACAACTCTGCACCTAGAAATAACTACAGTAAATCTTTCAGGATGTATTTCAGTCTCTGAAACTGAATGGCTAAGAAAATATAAACAACCTTATGACAAACAACACTCCCCTTTTTACCCCAGTGTTCTGTATTAATCTCTCTTGTAGAATTTTCTACATTTTACTATAGTTATTTTTAAGGGATTAGTAGAACAGGTGTCAATTGACTTATGTTTTAGCTCCATCTTTGACTTGCCAAATCTCTTTTTTTCTTTTTTTTTTTTTGAGATGGAGTCTCCCTCTGTCACCAGGCTGGAGTGCAGTGGCACGATCTTGGCTCACTGCAACCTCTGTCTCCCAGGTTCGAGCGATTCTCCTGCCTCAATCTCCCAAGTAGCTGGGATTACAGGTGTGCACCACTATGCCCAGTTAATTTTTGTGGTTTTAGTAGAGATGAGGTTTCACCATGTTGGCCAGGATAGTTTCGATCTCTTGACCTCATGATCCACCTGCCTCAGCCTCCCAAAGTGCTGGGATTACAGGCGTGAGCCACTGCGCCCGGCCCACTTTTTTTTTTTTTTGTAAAAAAATAGAGAAGAAATTGAAAATTATGCCAGTGGGTTTGGAGTTTCTCCTGTAAGTGATTGGGAGCCATTGAAGGATTACAAGTAGTTAAATAAATCAAAATAGTTTTTGAGAAGGTAGTTTACTTGGAAGCAATGATGCATGAATATAAGTGAATGAAAATAACATTTACAGGTAAGCTATTGTACTAAACTTATTATTTATGATATTTTACTTGATCCTTTTCGTACTATAGCATAGGGGTAATCATCCTAAGGACTAGGCTCTGGTTTTTTTTATCTTGCCCAAATTCCTATCTAGGGAGTCTGTGGAGTCATGCCCTACAAACCATAAATTCTCATCAGATGTTTTTCATTTAATCCTATATATCGTGACTTACTTTCCAATGTGACTCTGTCATAACATTATGTGACAAAGAAGGAAGTAAACACATTTTACTTTGTTTGCCATTTTTTGAAATGGTCCTGCAAAGCTGTCCTTTGCAGGGGAAAATGTGCATCTGTAAAGAATCTCTGTTAACATACCTAGATATTTTTCTTCCAGGCCCTCCCAATCCTGAAGCAATTAAGTAAGAGTCTAGCACTTTTTAAAGGTCTGAATAAAAAGCATTTGTCATCTATTGTCTCTAAGGGCAGCTACTATATGACTTCAAAAGAACCTTGGTCTCCACAATCTTTTATCTTAACCTGAACATTTCCTTTCTATTGATCCCAGGTCTTTAGACAAGTTCATCCAATTGTCAATCAGAAAATGTTTAAATTTACCTGTAGCCTGGAAGCCCCCCATCCCCTGCCCTTTGATTTGTTCTGCCTTTCTGAACCAAACCAATGTATTTCTTAAATGTATTTGATTGATGTCTCATGCTTCCCTGAGGTTTTATACCTTGCTTGGTATAAAACCAAGCTGCACCCCACCCACCTTGGGCACATATTCTCAGGACCTCCTGAGGGCTGTGTCAGAGGCCATGGTCACTCATATTTGGCTCTGAATAAATCTCTTCAAGTTTTACAGAGTTTGACTGTTTTCATCCACAATCCCCAAGCTAGAGATAAGAAATTTGAAACTCAACTGAGTTAAGCAATGTGTTCAAGGACACACAGCTAATAAGTGTTAGAGTAGGAAATTAAATCTAGCATGCTCAACTAACTGATTTCTTTCTAGACACAGAGGTTGGCTCAAGAGGTATTTCAGCAGTCTGGGTGGGCTCTGTTCCTATTGCATAATGAGAAGTTATAATAGAATGTTTAGCAAGCTGCATTGTTGAAACAGCAGATGGGTTGACGGCTGTTCCCAGGGGTTTTTCCCTATTACTCATACATGGTTGGGAAATCCTGAGGAAAGCTCAGCTTTTATTTCTTGAAATTTAAGGTCCTGACCCTCTATGGTGATTGCAGACAGAGATCTGCGTCGTTGACAACAAAGAGATTAAAGGAGAGACCTTGGGTAAGTCCCTTTGTCCCTGGACCTCAATTTTCTTAACCACAAACAATTAAATGTTCTCTGAAGTTTTCTTTTGTTTTAAGACTCAAGGATAATACTGAGTGCCTAATGTAACGTGAAGTTCTAGGTAGAGGCTTAATGATAGCGTTACTCATTTACAGGGATTAAACAGAATGTCCACAAAGAACTGGTTGAAAATAGGCTGTAGAAATGGCACAGAAGATATGTGTTCTTAATTACTCAACTTTTATGCATTTTATGCACTAGACTGTAAGATTCAGGTAGGGGTGGGCTGTATGCTTGTTCATCCTACATCTTAGGGGCCATCACTAGTGTCTTGTAGGTAGGGACCCAAAGAGTTTTGTTGAAAGAAAGAACAAATAATGCAGAAAGGTTGCTTGTCCCCTAGAATTTGTTCTTCGCTTCTTCCTCAATAATGTACCACCTAGAATCACCTGGATACAGTCGTGCAGAACAGACTTCATTTCCCAGACTTCCTTGCAGCTAGATGTGCTCATGCTATTAAATTCTGACCAATGGGATGTAAATAGAATTAATGTTGACTTTTTTTTTTCCAGGAAATAATCTTAGAGTGAGAGGACATAATTTTCTACTTCCAATTTCCCCTTCTGGCTAAGATAAAATGGATAAATGGGTAAGATATTTGGAACTTGGATCATAAAATGGAATTACATGTTGAGAATAGCAGTGCAATGAGAAGCATGGTGTCTAGGCTATCTGACAATAGTCAAGCCTCTATGCAAGCTTTTAACTGTGTATGTAAACATAAGCACGAGAGACAGATATGTTTCTATTTTGTTTAAAACACCTCTATTTTTGGTTTACAAATTGTTGTAGCTGAACTTAATACATGGGAACATTTTCAAAAGAGGGCTGGGCACAGTGGCTCACTTCTGTAATGCCAGCATTGGGAGACAGAGGTGGGATGATTGTTTAAGGCCAGGAGTTTGAGGCCAACTTGGGCAACATAGAGAAATCCTGTCTCTACAAAAGATTTAAAAATTAGCTAGCATGGTTGTGGATGCCTGTAGATCCCGCTACTTGGGAGGCTGAAGCAGGAGGATCACTTGAGCCCAAGAGGTTGAGGCTGCAGTGAGCTATTATTGCACTGCTGCACGCCAGCCAGGGTGACAGAGTGATACAGTCTCAAAAACAAAAAAGACAAAAAAAAAAAAAAAAAGAGTACACAGCTTTCATAATTTTTCTTTCAAGAACAGCTAATAAAAATATTTTGAGCATGCCTACCATAAACTTCACAATCACATACGGTAGATTTGATTTTGGGTGATGATCAGGGAGTGCCTACCTAGTTGGCCATTAGTTAATTTTTGTATAAATACAGGGTTTGCTTGATCAATAACTTGAATATTTTATACTAAGTGTCTAAACTAATCCTTTTATTTTCACTGAAAACTTTTATATTTCCATTTGTTTACATGAGGTTGTTAATATAAAACCAATTTATTTTTGTGAATGGAGTGAGGATGAAATCTAATTTTTTTTTTTTTTTTAAAAAAGGGATAGCTCATTATTCCAAACCATTTAATTTATAGCATGTATATGCAGATTTTTGCTGCTGATTTAAAATATACATTTATCAAATGTTAACTACTTATATAAACATTAATATTTGAAGGACAATGGCTAGGAATTTTATGAATTTCATAAAAAATGTAAATTCACGGATCCAAGATACTCAATAAACCTCAAGCCAAAATAACACAAAGAAAGCCACACAAAAAACCCATATTAATTAAATTCCTGAAAACAAGTGATGAAGAGAAAAATCTTAAAAATAGAAAATATATGTATAAAGGAACAAATATACACATTTAATTTCCCCTTAGAAACTATGTATTTCAGAAGAATGGAGAAACATCTTTAAAGTGCTAAAAGAAAGAAATTATAAACCTAAAATTGTATATCTGACCAAAACATTATTCAGAATTAAAGGCAAAATAAATTTTTTTTTCTGGAGGGGGAATAAAACCCAGAAAATCTGTGGCTAGGAGACCTGCATAACAAGAAATGTTTTTTAAAAATGTCAGTCCTTAAATGGAAGGAAAAAAAGTGATGAAAGCTTGGATCTACACACAAAAATAAAAAGCTTCAGACATGGTAAATATAAAATAATTTTTTATTTGTTAAATTTATATACTTCTTAAATATAATTGATTGTTTAAAGCAAAAAAGCATGCCAATATATTGAGAATTTTAGCCTATGAAAGAATAAGTTGTATAATAAAATAGCTCAAGGTTTATTAGGGAGTGAATACCGTTGCAAGGTTTTAAATTTATATGTGAAGTGATATAATGTTAATTAAAAGTAGATTGGATGAAATTAAGTTGCATGTTATGAACCCCAGTAAACAAAGAAACAAAAAAGTGTAGTTTATAAGTCAATAGTGGATTTAAAATAGAAAGATAGAAAATACACAATTAACCCAAAAAAAGGTAGGAAAGAAGAAAAAGGGGAAGAAAGAGCATATGGTACAAATTCCAAACATATAACAAAAAGATAAGTTTAAACCCAATTATGTCAATAATTATATTGAATATAAATAGTCTAAACACTCCCATCTCTGCCTTTTAGCAGAGATTTCAAACTGGATAAAACGCAAGACCAACTATATGCTGCCTATAAGGAAACTATTTATAAATATACAGATAAGTTAAAATGAAAAGTATTGAAAAAGATACAATATGCACATACCAATCATAAGAAGGGTGGACTGGATATATTAATATCAGATAATGTAGAATTCAAAGGAAGGAATATTATCGGACTAAAGAGGGATATTTTATAATGATGTGAACATCAAGAAAACGTAACCACCTAATTTATACCCAATTAACAGAGCTTTAAAATACATGAAACAAAAATGAACACAACTCAAAGAAGAATTAGACAAATTCACAATTATTTTTGTAGTCTCCAACATTCCTTTTCAAGTAATTGACAAAAAAAGACAGAAAAAATCACCAAACATAGAATTGAACAATATCAACCAAATTAATCTAATTGACATTAATAATAGAACTCTCCACCCAACAACTGTGGAATTCACATTCTTTGAAGAGCTCATGAAACATTTTCTAAGGTAGGCTGTACGTTGGACAATGAAATAATTCTCAATAAATTTAAAAGAACTAAAATCAGGCAGTGTAAGAGCATATTATGTGTCAGTGGTAGATTTAAATTAGAAATCAATAACAAAATGATAATACCCAAATAATTGGAAATTAAACGGCACACTTCTAAACAATCCATGGGTCCCAAAAGATGATATAAAGGAAACTAGAAAATATTTTGATTTGTAACTTAGAATTTTATCTATAAATGTTAACATTAGAAAAGAAAAAAATTAAAAATTAATCTAAGCTTCTACCTTTAAGCACTGTGGTTGCTGCTTCTCTTAAATTTTGATATGTTGTGTTTCATTATCATTTCATTCAAAATGCGTTCTAGTTTCAATTGAATAATCAAAACAATATTACATGTTGTGGGGAGTGACAGAGATCAATGTCACCCTTAGAGACCTAAAGGACACAGGTTTGGTGGTCTCCATCATATCTACATTAATTCATCAGGTGGTTCCCTACAAAATCCAGGTGGTTTCTGGAGAATGACACACAGTACTACAAACTCAGCATAGTAGGAAACTTTATTTCAGCTGTTATACAAGATGTTGCATGTTTAATAGAATAAATTAACAAAGTCCGATATATGGCATGTAGCCCCTGGTGTGACAAACGCGTTCTTTTCCATTCCTGTTAGAAGAGGAATGAAATGCAGTTTGTATTCACTTGGAACATAAAACAGTATATGTTTAGTCTTGCCCCAGGGCTGTGTTAACTCTTTTGACCTCTGTCATAATGTAAGTCTGAGGAAATCTGAACCATCTGGACATTAGAAAAAATATTGCACTGTTATATTTATGATGTCATGATAATTGGGCAATATAAGCAAGAACTGTTAAGTGCACTAGAGGGGCGATAAGATATGGACTCCAGGGAGTAGGACATAAATCCCATGAGGATTCACAGTCCCACTACATCAAAAAAATTCTTGCAGGTCTAATTTCTTGAGTGTGCTTGAGACATTCCCTCCAAAATATAGTTAGAATGATTGCATCTCATACTTACCACCACAAAGAAGAAAACATATCTGCCCCCTTTGGGTTTTGGAGGCAATATATTCCACACTGGGAATATTACTGCTGACTGATACAAAAGGTTTCCGGGTTTGAGGGGAGCTTGCAGCTAGAAAGTGCTCTATAGCAGGTCTAGATTTTGGTGCAAGTGACCCTGATGCTTGGACCATAAACCCCAGCAAGCTTTATAGTATTGGAGACATGGCAGGAAAAGACTGAGTGGAGTTATTCGGCAAACTTCATAGGAGAATCATGGTGTAGCACAACTATGCCATTTGCAATGGAGAATTACACTCCTAGAAAGACAGTTCCTGTTTTTCTACTTGGAAGCCCATGTAGAGATAGTGTACTTTACCATGGGTCAAGTGACCTTGTGGCCAGCACTGTCATCATGAAATGAGGTCCTGATTTCTGCCAGACTCATCAAGTTATAAGGTTGTGTGGACCCAGTAGCAATCAATTGTGAGGCAGAAATAGTAAGTCTGGGATAATAAGTACTAAGGCCTGAGTCTACCTACACATAAGCTACACAAACATGTGACTCAGATCCCCATACATCTACCTTCATTGCAGTAGCATCTCTCCCTTAGTTTACACCTATGGATGCAGAAGGGCAGGTGGATGGTGATGAGGAAGTCTCTTATGATAAGCTCAGGAAAGAAGCAGAAACCTCGTCTTACTTTTCTGATGGGTTGGCTTGGTACACAGAAGCAAGCTAAGATAGACAACAACTGCATTATACCCTCACCCAGGAATGGCCTTAGAAAACAGCAGTGGGGGAAAAGCCTCTCACTGTGAAGAGTTTTGAAAACCTGTCATCTACTTTTTAATGGAAAGAGAAGTGACTCAAGTTTCAAATACTTATAGACTCGTGGGCAGTAGGAATGGCTTGGATAGTTGGCTAGGGTCCAGGAAGGAGAAACGTTGGAAGATAAACATGGAGTGGAATCATGAGGCTGAAACTATGGGGATGGCAGGAAATAAGAAGATTTTTGTATTACATGTAAAACCAAGTAGAAGAATTGACTCAGGAGGTTGGTGTCAGTAGCCTGTCACTAGCCATTTCAATGCTGGCACAATGGGTTTATGATAGAAACAACCGTGGTGGCAGGGAAGGAAGTTATACACAAGTCCAGCTGCACGAGCTTCTGCTTACCAAGATAAATCAAGCTACAGCCATTGCTCAATGTTCAACCTGCTAGCAAAAAAGAACAATGCTGAGACATGGCACCATCCCTCGATGACACTAATTCTCCAACGGATGGCAATTGACTACATTGGATTTCTTTTTTTTTCTTTCCTTTTCTTTTTTTTTTTTTTCCAGAGATGGAGTCTTGCTCTGTTGCCCAGGCTGGAGTGCAGTGGTGCAATCTTGGCTCACTGCAAGCTCCGCTTCCTGGGTTCACGCCATTCTCCTGGCTCAGTCTCCTAAGGAGCTGGGACTACAGGCGCCCACCACCACGCCTGGCTAATTTTTTGT